TTTGTTTTTACATTTTTTAGAAGAACTTTTCGCAAGTTGGTTTCTTTTACAGTGTGCATATTCATTCGTTCGTTCATTCATTCATTCATTAGTTTGTTTGTTTAATTTATATGATATTTCTCTGTTACATTATCCATCGTACATAACTCATGTACAGTCGACCATAGCTGAAGTAAAATATTTTAGGTAATATCGGTTACACATACATAAGGGAGCCCACCATTAACTAAGAGTTTTCCCTCAGTAATTTGCTGCTTATTGATAGCAAGGTAGCTGTTTGTAGTAGTTATGTTTAGGTATTGGGATTAAAGGATCTAGAATATGGTCATGCAGAATAAGACATTATGTTCTTTATACTAATAAACAGCCCATATGCTAATAATATGCATGCTAATAGCCCTAGCAAGTTAATAGTGAATAGTGTTTCCTAATCAAAAGTGTTACTGTAATATCTGTCTTAATGAAGCTCAAATAAAATACCAAAAACATTTGATTTCTAATTTTGAAAATGCTATTAGCTGTTCATTTACACGTACAGCATAGGAACCTCCAGAAATGATAGGAATTAAGAGAAGTTTTATGTACCATCAAAACATAGCCTACAATGTCACAACCAGTGTAAAGTTTAAAGTCAAGCCCACAGTCCACAGTAGGAATCAAACAATGTGTTTTTTAATGAAGGCCTTGGGCGGCTCTGAAATGGACAGTGTTTGAATAATAGATACATCATGTGTATGTGTTTACGTGAACATGAAGTTTGATTCACACACAGCTGTCTTGCTTATCAAGTTTCAAAACACCCTACTTGATGTTCTACTTGGGAGGAGGAGTCCATTTTTTTTCTTTCAAAACAATGCCCTTCTCTCCTTTAAAAAGCCCAGCCAAAAAGCACAGCTAGGTTGAGTTTTTTTGGCAGCCTGTCCACAACTAATAGTCACTATGAGTCTTTCTGCAAAGGACAAATTGGCGGTGAAGACCTTCTTCGGCAAAGTTGCCCCTAAGGCGGAGGACATTGGCAGCGAGGCTCTGGCCAGGTAATTTGAACTGCAGTTTCTGCATAAATGAACGGACGTTTATAACATAGGCTGCTATTATATCTCTTTTGTTTTGAATCGTTTCAGGACTCTGTTCGTTTACCCTCAGACGAAGACCTACTTCTCCCATTGGGCAGACCTGAGCCCCGGCTCACCTCAGGTGAAAAAACATGGGCTGACCGTAGTGAATGGCGTCCTCAGCGCTGTCGAGCTGATTGATGATCTCAAGGGGGGTCTGCTCACCCTCAGCGAGCTTCACGCCTTCATGCTTCGCGTGGACCCCGCTAACTTCAAGGTAGCCTGTTTCAGGGTTTTGCTGAAAACATTTGTCTGAGGAGTTCTTTTTTTATTGCCTAATAACCGATTCTTTTTTCTTTTTTTTTT